CAAGACTGCCTAGGTACAGATTTTAATCAGTAGCTTCCCAGGTTTTATCTGAGTCGACCCCCGGAGAGGCGTTGAAATAAGACAAACATTTTCCTGTTCAGGCAGGCCACGAAGCGAACTACTTGATTTGATGATTGTTTTTTTGACTCGGCGCAATACGACCTTGCACCTATTATCGGCGCGGGCCTGACTAGACCTATGACAAGAAGTCGATCGCGACACACTTTTAAAATAAAAGTAGATCTTATATACAAAAAAGTTTCCCACCCCTGTCATAAAACACTCGTTGCCGTTATTTATATAAATGGCTCGTCATGAACGTTGAGTTTCAGGGTTTAGACTGACTGGCCTCTGACTTTTGATCCGATGGAGACGCGATTTCACAATTGTTTTTATTTTGTGGTATCGAAACTTTTTCTCGCTCATAAATATGTCATAATTATGTAAATATAACAAAAATTATTATGTAATATGTCATAATATATATAATAATATACGTCATTTTGAAGGAGAAAACTTCGCTTTCGTCAAAAGATAAAGAGAATATATAATTAATGTTTTGACTTTTTTTTCCACATCAACGTTGCCAAATGTGTAACAAATGAAAGTAAGTTTAGTAAATTCTTGCAAATATCTCTCCAATTCGGTGTGAAGGTTCATTATTTCATCATAATAATTCTCTTTGTTTAATGTACTTTCGTTTTTAAACAACTCGTCAGAAATGTTTTAGAAATTTTTAGTTCATTCTTCAACTGGGAAGATGTTAGTTTTAACTTGTTTTTGAAAGTATTAACAAATCAAATCAATTCTACTACTGTTTATTTTTTTTCTTGCAAATGTACGTTAATAGTGGGTAAAAGACGATTCTGGAACAATAGAAGCTCCGCAACTTCTCCACCCTCCCTCCCCTCCCTCCTCTTCCAAGTGCTCTTCCCCCACCCCTCCCATCCTTCTCCCCCACCCCACTCTCTCTCATCCAAGTGCTCTGCTTCTTCCCCCTTCCCACCTTCTACTAGGGTCAGAGGGAAAGGCTTGCCAAAGCGGTTTTGTCCGAATGTTGATGAAAGGGACATTAGTTATTATTTCACTTAATTACAATAAATTAACAGAGTTTTATCAACAAGATAGTTTTAACGAAAATTTACGTTATATCATTAAACCGTGTTAATTTTTTTTCTTTTAATCTTCACAGATAAAGTTTCTTCCATTTACTTTCATAATTGTAAATTAGAGTTGTAATAACGATATCACATTTTTAAAAAAATTTTATTTTAGAGAACTGAGCTTAATTACCAATAAAAAAGTCAATGAGCAAAAATATTAATTTTGCCGAGATGGATTACTGGGTTATTTAGATAGGTGTCAAAAGATTGTAACGTATTCGCAGAGATAAACAATTTTTTATTTTGCCGCTAGAGGGCAATTCTGTATTTCACATTCGTATATCGACGAATTAGAACCCAACTACTTTCTGATTGGTTAGAATACTTTCTTTTCTTCTCAGAAAACCCTAGTCTACTTTGCCTCACTTTTGTTGATTCTGCGACTCCATTTTGCCCAACAGAAATTAGTTTAAAATTTTAATTTTTGCACTTAAATAATTTTGGTATGAAGCGAACTTCGGAAAACGGTAATACTACTACTAAGAAGAAAGTTCGTTTCGCTGATAAAGCTGGAGAGGATAATCAAATTGCTATAAATGCTCTACCACCTTATCATTTTCATTTGGGAAATGAAATGTACGCCGTTGTTTCGGACTTAGGTGATGTGATCCGCATTCATCTTAGACAGTACAGATCTCTTGGCAATGGAAATTTAGTTCCTACTAAGAAAGGAATCACACTGAAGCCTTTCTGGCAATCTCTGGACTTTGATTCATCATAACATATTTTCTCGCTATGGTCAAATGGTCATACGAGATGCATTGATGCTTTCAACTGTAGTCATTGAAGACAAACTCCATATCTCAATGCAGTGTTATTTTCAACACAAGGATTTTACACGGCATTTTTTACCATCCGTATGCTTGCTTACTGAAAATGAGTGGGATACACTAAAGCAATGACGCAACTTACGCAATGAAATCACTTCTAACGTTATTACACTCAAATTTGGAAGAATTTTCCAAAATTAATCTTAAAGGAAGCTGCCAAGCAAGCACCTTGTGCTAGTGATATAACCGTTGATGATGTTGAAATTCTGTTAACAACTTCTATGATCGAACTACTCAAAAACTGCTTAGCTGAAATGATCGCAGAAGTTTTTGAATGTGATGGCTGTGCTGAAGGATATGAAAATCAGCTCGGTCATGACTGTGTCACCTTAACGTATGATTTAAGAATGCTTCGATATGCAGAACTAGCTTTATGTCGAATGGACTTAAAAACTGTAGCTGCTGATTTTGTGCAACAAAATATTCACATATCCAATTATATTAATGAATCTTTTGTAAAAAAGCTGGACTTTGACGTACTGTTAAAAAATGCTAAAGAGTTGTATGTAGCCTCGGATCCTAATCCTTGGCGTTTGTAAGAAAGAATTGCTTAAATAAATGTTTTTTATTTTCCCATTATATGTCATTTTGTAATTTTTGCTTCACGTGAGAAGTTGATTTTTTTTTGTCATAATCTGATTGCATGTAATAAACAAATAAGAGCTACCTTAAACAGAATATTTAAATGAGTAAATAAATAAATACACTTGGTTATCATGAGTTTGGAAAATACATATAGAAATCCAGAACATCCTGCCAGTTTCGGTGGAATTAATGCTTTGCATCGTGCATTAGAAGGACGTTATAGTTTTAAAGATATAAAGAACTGGCTAAAAACGAAAGATTCTTATACCTTGCACAAACCTTTGAAACGGAAGTTTCAAAGAAACAGAGTGATCGTTAGTGGTATAAACAAACAATTTCAGTCAGACTTGGTAGATATGCAAACTTTAGCTCAATTTAACGACGGCTACAGGTATCTGTTAACGTGCATTGATATTTTATCAAAATATGCCTGGGCCATACCGTTGAAAGATAAGAAAGCCCAAACAATTGTGTCAGCTTTCAAAAAAATATTTTCTGAGCGAACTCCAAAGAAGCTTCAAACTGATGCTGGAAAAGAGTTTACAAATAAACGTTTCCAGGATTATTTAAAGAGAAAGAAAGTACATTTTTTTACCACACATAACAATACAAAAGCGTCAGTTGTTGAACGGTTTAACAGAACCTTAAAAACGAAAATGTGGAAATATTTTACTGAAATGAATACTAACAGATACATTGATGTTATCGGCAAACTAGTGCATAGCTATAATAACACTTGGCATCCCAGTATCAGAATGGAACCAGCTTGCGTAAATGTTGCAAATCAAAAACAAGTATGGAATAATCTCTACGGAAATCTAACAGTAAGGAAAATATTAGATTCAGAGTTTAAAGTTGGAGATACTGTTCGTATCAGCAAGGAAAAGTTGATGTTTGAAAAAGGGTATGAAAAAACTTTTACAAGAGAAATTTTTACTATACATCAGATTGTTCTCAGAGATCCTGTGGTTTATAAATTGAAAGATTTAGCAGAAGAAGTGATCAAAGGCACATTTTATAAACAAGAACTTCAAAAAATTACTGACTCAGGATATTATCCCGTAGAAAAGGTTTTACAAAAGAGGAAAAGAAATGGGAAAATGGAATATTTTGTGAAATTTCAAGATTATCCAGATAAATTTAATGCTTGGGTCACCGACGTCAAATTAATATAAATGTCGCAAAATCAGTTTTCAGTATCATTTTCTAAGATGTCTTTCTATGTGACGCTAGTGAGTGATAGCTCTAAGCAATTCTTCCCCGAAAATAAAATTTCACATTTTACAACTCAGCTACCTTCTCCAGTACATTTAGCCACTGGAGAATGGGAACTGGCGCTAGTGGATTTATTATACCCGCATTCTTGGTATAATGTTAGGAAAGGTAGCAATTTATTCGGCTTTGACTTGGGAAATGGTAAACTCTTGGGTAGGCATGTTCCTCCAGGATGTTATGAAACTATACCCGAACTTCTGAAAGCCATGACTTTAGCATCTCACAAAAATAAAATTGAAGTTTCAGTACCATCCAGTGACAAAAGAGAGTCAAAATCAAAACAGAAAATGAAGCTAAAGTTATCCTATACAAAGGAATTTCTGAATTAACTAGGCTTCGAACCCGGCGAATACAAAGGCATTACAGAAAGCCCTTTTATCGCTTGATCCTTCGTCATCTTTTCCACTCATGTATATTTATTGTGATTTGGTTGAGCCACAAATTGTAGGAGATATACAAGCCCCCTCCTGAAAATCGTAAAAGTAGAAGGCAAAGATGGAGAGGTACTAAATGCGCCCATTATGTTCGCCCTCATTATATGCCAGTTATTCGACAAGATTTTCAGACTATTGAATTAGCTCTCAGGTTGCACTTTCGGGAGATCTAGTTCCTTTTGAAAGAGGGAGAGTCATAGTCGTTTTGCATTTTAGAATGCGACAAATCTTATAAAATATATTGCATTTATACCCCAAAGTCATTTGTTAACAGGATATTTTTGAAGAAGCATCATGCTCGTTCCATATACCTGTTGTCCAAAAAAGTTCGAAGATCATTACATCAATCAAATTGGCAGTGGTGCTCCTTATTATAAAAAGAGTTTCGTTTCAGAAAGGTTATGGGATTGGCGGATGGTTTCGTAAGCCTTTCGAACTATGCACTGCCTTTTGTAATGAAAGGTGCCAAAGCATTTGGAAAAGAAGCATTGCGAACTGGAACAATGATTGCTAGTGACATTTTAGCCGGTAAAAAATTATCGACATCTGCTGAAGAAAGAAACGGGCAAGAATTTAGCAAGAAAAGCTTTTAAAAAAGCAGATGGCATGCTGAGGCATGGTAAAATAAATAAAAGAAAGAGGAAGTAAATGAAACATTTCATTCCTTCAAAAGCCAGAGCAAAGAAAACACGTGACATTTTTTATTTGTAACGATGGCATTTTTATTGAAAGATGCTAAATCGGAACTAAAGTTATTCACTTTACACCCTACACAAACAGTCATAGAAAGAGGACAATGGGTACAGTTTCATCCGCTTTCAAATGCTTCCGATGGAGGTCCAATCGAATTTCATGTATCTGGCACTAGAGAAGATTATTTAGATCTCTCCCAAACACAGCTTTTTCTCAAAGTGAAAGTTGTTATCAGTGATGGATCCTTATTGAAAGATGGAGAAAAAGTGGGGCCAGTAAATCTTCCATGCATTCTTTATTCTCTCAGGTGGACGTTACTTTAAACGAAAGACTGATTTCTTCAAGCAACAATACTTACCCTTACCGCGCAATCCTTGAAAAACTGCTTAATCATAACTATGATGAGAAGACTTCACAGCTTTCTGCTGAGCTCTTTTTCAAAGACACAGCTGGAAAAATGAACGTATTTGACCCTAGTGACCCGAATCCTAACGAAGGTTTTACTAAACGAGCTGATTTTATCAAAAAGAGTGAAACAGTTGATATGATTGGGAGACTTCACGTTGATCTATTCCATCAAGAAAGACTGATGCTCAATCTGGTAGATTTAAAATTGAAACTTATAAGAAGTAAACTGGAGTTCTGCTTAATGGGCGAAAACAGTTACAAGATTCTTATCCAGCATGCTTCCCTTTTTGTGAGAAAGGTTCGTGTGAATCCAGCAGTGACGCTGGCTCACGCCAAAAGCCTTGAGAAAACAAGTGCGAAATATCCAATTAACAGAGTGTTGTGTAAAATTTATTCCATTCCTCAAGGTAATATGTCTTTTGTACAAGATAATGTCTTCGCAGGTCAAATGCCCAAACGATTAGTTCTTGCTTTCGTGGATAATGAGGCGCTCAACGGTACATATAAAAAGTCTCGTTTCGAGTTCAAACATTATCATATAAATTTCATATCAGTTTACATGGATGGGCAACCTGTTCCTTACCAACCTCTGGAGCCTAATTTTGAGAATAATGCGTTTATTCGTGCCTATCAAAGTTTATTTCTTTCTGCCAAAGAAAGAATATGCTAATGGTTACTCTTTCTTTGTCCATCTCCTGATCTCTGCAACGGTGAACCTTTGAACCTCGTACGATATAGTAACCTGAGACTGGAAGTAAAATTCTCTAAGATTTTAGAACAAACTGTTTTTGTTTTAGTGATTTCGAAAATTTGATTGAAACCAACAAAGCTAGAAATATTTTTTGATTTCGGGAATTAATGTATGCTTCTCCGATACAACGAATTGTATCTAAAGATAGAGATGCAGCTGGGAAATTTATGGGAGTATTTCCCTCTGACAAAAATTCCTCGTGTAAAGAATGAAGCATGTCTCATTGTGAATACAGATCCACATGGGAAAGAAGGTTCTCACTGGCTTGCGATATCATTGAAAGACAAGCATACTCTAGAATTTTTCGATTCGTATGGCATGTCACCCGAGTTTTATGGCGATACCATTGCCTCATATGTTAAGCAATTTCAGTTTGTAGAATGGAACACAAAAACGCTTCAAAGCCCCACATCAAATATCTATGGACAGTACTGCGTCCATTATGTACTCAAGAGATGTAGAGATTACTCAATGGACTCTATTGCGGAATATCTCAAGAAGAAAAATGATTTTCAGTTGTATAATTTTTGTCGCAAAACTTATGGTATCAAAATGATTTTTAGAAAATAAAATGCTTCATTTATATTCACAACTTGTATTTATTATTGAATTAAAAACTCCATAGACACTGTTCAAAATCAACACATTTCGCCTTCTCCTCCCTTCCTAACATTGATTTCTTTCTTTCCTTCTTTTTTCTCTTAAACAAAGTTGTAACCAATATATATATATATATATATATATATATATATATTGAACAAGTTTTGCAATTAACAATTTTAATTAATGAAAAAAAAAAGATCGTCCTGATATCTATGAATTGAACAACGATATCAAGTAAAATGTAAGGTCATTTTTCATTTTATAAAATTTAAGTTTTTAAATATAAAGTTAATTTTGCTCTTTTAAAATTAAAGTTTCATATCATACAAAAAGGAGTTTTTTCGACCTTTAAAAATAAAATTCTTTTAATAACTGAAAGGAAATTTTCTTCTTTTAAAGACTAGCATATGTTTATAGAAATCTATTGGGTTCTGCATTATTAAATTATATTACTTGAGGTGATTTTGGACTTTGTAAAGTTTTATTCCTATAAAAGAGGCTATTTTGTCCTCTAACGATTTTATAATAAATGGAAAGGTCTTTTTTGACTGTTCTAAGTTAAGGTTTTGTACCACATAAAGATGGTGATTTTCGACTTATTATTATTTTCTTTTGATATAAATAAAGGTAATTTGATTTCTATTTTCTGAAGTGATTTGTCATTAAAGCATAATAAAACAAAATAAAAAAGAAAAAGGATAAGTTAAAATCCGTTTTAATATGAAATCCAATTATTCTTTCTTGTATACAATCTCTTTTACATGCTTAGGTTGCAATATTTTACTAGGGTTGTTAAGGTAGATATTTTTAACATACTTCAAAGGAAATTTTATATCTTTTAAAATATTATAAAACACAAAACGACCCCGAAGAGCTTTTCTTCTGCTTCGAAGCAAGTCGTTAACTAGTTCAACGATGTTGGTACCTGTTACAACTTTTCCATGTACTATCAACTCTTTCGATGCATTCCAAGAGAGTTTATCACTATGCTGCTGAAGAAGTGAAGAATATCTTTAACCAAATTTTTTCCAGTAACGAGGGCCGAGTGTAAAATGTCTGAAGAAATATCAGGTCTATCATCTGAAACTTTCTCTTTTAATTCCTTTTCGTCTTCAACCTTATAAACTTCTTTCTCTATGCTACTCGTTTTATTTACTTTAGGTACAGTCTCAAGATAAGATATTCGACGTATTTTTGTAACGCTTGTGTATAAAGAGTGACCTTTTCACTGTCGTTTAAAATAGACATTTTGAGGACTGATTTCATTTGTTTGTCCAAATCCGATAAATGATTATCTGCTAAACGTTGTTCATGCTCAAAATGCCTATCTGCAGGAACTAGGATGAGTTTTCTAGCGTGATCCATTAAATAACGAGGATACAGCGGTTATTGCTGCTGGAATAATAAAACTTAAAAACCCTTCGCCCTTTTGAATCAGAAGTTCACGCTTTTTGTACAACGGAGTTTTTCTCTTCGCTAACTGACGCAATTCTTTTTTGTAAGGCGCAAGATTTTGTTTCTAGTTTTTAGTCAAAGGAATGTTTCTTTGCAATAAATTAATAACGCATTCACACACAGCTTTAATTAGAGGATTTGAACAGTTTCGAAGAATGTTTGCTTTTCTTTTACTTTTAGATAATAGCTCTAATTCATGTAAGTGTTGATCTGCACACGTTGGCATATTGACGGAAAATGATATCATATACCTGAAGTCACTGGTATATATGGGAAACATGTATGTATGAATGTATGTATGTATGTGTGATTATGGCAAAGCCTCGAGGGCTATCTGCCTAAGGGGAGGGGATGTCTTCGTGCAGGACTTTCTAAGGGAAACTGGCTCGTATACACGATACACATGGGGAAAACTACGAAAACGCCCATGCAGTCAGCCCGTTCGCGGGATTCGAACCTCGGACCGAACTACCAGTGTTCAGCGACTTTACCGCTCGGCCGCTGGCGGGCATATTTGAAATAAATTTTGCAAAAGTAAATAAATAAATTTAATTTTGCCTTGAATAAAGTACAGTGCGAGTGATTTGGAGAATGAAATCTGCATTTAACGGGATCTGGAGGTAAATTATTCACCTTGGGGCAACAAAAGTTATCAAGATTTAAAATTTCATGATTTGTCTGTTGTTCTAAAACTTTACATTTTTCAGATCCCTTTACAAATACTAGTAATAATAATAGTAAATAACGTAGAATGGCTTGAAGGTTTTCGTAAGGAAATTCACCAGAATTCCATAGCATTCCATGTATACTGCGTTCCACACATGAAAAAACGATTTTCTGCTTTGTGCTGAGCTTTTTCCATGGCTTGGGAGGCAGAAATGTCCAGTGACCAGAGTAGGAATCTAGAATACCTTGAAACGCTAATTCTTTAATAATAAAACAGTCTGGTCTGAGTTGAAATCCTTCGAAGTCAATAACGGCAAGCATCGTGATGTTTAAAGTCAAACTGATCTCCGTGGAACATACGCGAAGTTTTTATCACCAGGGAAAATACCCGTACGTAAGCGAACGTTTTCATCTGTTTCCGGCTTTAAATCTATGAAAAGATAACCATAAGGTACACTAGTTGCGTCGTAAAAACTTTCCTGAAAAATTTCGTTTGACCTGGATACATCTGCCTTGCTAAACACTGAACTTGTAATTTATCTCTTATGTTTTTGAAACAGCACAAATAGGAAGCGTTTACAGAAATACATCTCATTTCTTTACCCTTATGAAACATTTTTTGTACTATAAAAATAACGGTCAAATTCCTGTGATAGCTTCCGTTAGTAAATAATTTGGATAGTATAGAATCATCTCCTAATTCAGACATAAGATCATCAATAATAATAAGTGCATCAGATATTCGATTGATATCAGAGGGCAACCCATCATAAAATTCTACACCAGTTATTTCATCAAACAGATTTTGATATGCTCCATAGCACCAAATAACTTTACGAGGAAATGGCTTTAAGATTTTTTCATCTATTATTTTCTTAACAAAAAACGTTTTGCCTGAACTAGATGGACTGCTAATTATCATCGAGAAAGGGAGTTTCAAATATAGGAACTCCATATCAAATGAATATCTTTTTACTCTGAGAAGTATATTTATAGAAAATAAAGTAAAGATAAATTCTGTTTTATACTTAACTAAAAAAAATATATAAAACATATTGAAAACAAATATATTTATTAAAAGGTAATGGTGTTTTTTAATTAAATTCATAGAAAAAATATGAATATTCATTCATTTTCCTCACTAGAAAACAAATTTCAATTTGAGAAGGATAATATCACTGTAATATAATATATATTCAATGCCTATTCAATTAAAATACTTACAGATAGCCTGAGACATTATATACACAAGATAAATGGGAAATAATTTGTGTACTTGTTGGCAATAAAATAGACATTTTCTCACATAAATACATTTTAAAAATTAATGTTTCTTGACTAAACTTATACATAAAATCCGAATACACATTTTTTTTTCACTCTTCATTACACTACCAATTTCAGTTAAAGGATAATCAGATTGTTATGTTATATACATATTCAATGCATATTCAGTTAAAATATGTATAGATAACCTGAGACATTACATACACAAAATAAATACATTTGCGACCTGAATGACAATAATATAGACAATTTTCTCCCACAAATACATTTTAAAAAGCAATATTTCTTCATCAAACTTATCTACAAAATGATATACTCATTTTTTTTTCTCTCTTCATTAGAATATCAGTTTAAGTTTGAGAAGGATAATCTGACTATAGTGTAGTACACTTTCAATGCATATTCAGTTAAAATATTAATAGATAACCTGAGACATTATATATACACAAAATAAATGGGAAGTAAATACATTTGCATACTTATTTACAATAAAATAAACGTTTTTCTCTCATAAATACATTTTAAATAATAATATTTCTTGATCAAACTTATGTACAAAATGCGAATACTCATTCTTTTTTTCATTAGAACACAATTTTTCAGTTTGAAAAGATTAATCTGACTGTGATGTTCAATACATATTCAATGAATATTTTGGCACAAATATTAGAGAGAAAAAAAGATCATTACCTTAGATGTTCAGTTGCTAAGCTGTTCAAATGCTCAAGCGGCTGTAGAAGTGGATACTTTAGAAATTCGGTATTCATGGTTTCTAAAACATGAATCTTTAAATAATTTTATAATGTTCAAATGCCAGTGTATTTATGCTGTTATCCAATATATATCTTTTTCTATCATATGGTGAAAGTGCAAGCTTGTTCATTTTCACAGAGAAAAGTTCACGATTC